CGTCGAGAATAGCACATCAAACTTGAACGAGTTGAGTCATTTCATTCTATTCATTCAGAGACCGTAAGAAGTTCGGTCAGTGTTGACGAGGAAGTATGGTTATTTATCATCACAACTCACCGAAGCTACAAATCTCATGATTGGTCACCAGGAACTTTTTGTATCTAACTCACGGCAAATCACCCCTTTAATTCTTGAATATGGAGAGATTAGGCTATATTTGTGGTAGCGCTGGAATGCAAAACGATGGTCCACCTAAGGGCCACTTTTAGGCCGAAAAATCGATTAGATCCATTACGGTTGCTTAAGGAAACGACGTGAACATGAAAGAAATCTTTGATTCTTCCCATTTTCAGTGAGGCCTTAAAAAGTGGTACACATATTGGAACACTACCTTGAAAAATTCTTTCAAATCTTGGGGACAATCGAACACATATTGGTGATATTAATTATTTTCAAGTACCAAATAATATCTTATCCACTTTTTCAAATTGAAAACGTTGTGGAAAGGAATTTGACATCAGCCGTGACCATTCTTTATGTAAGAATTTCACGATCGCCTCAATCTAGTATATTAATGTTCCAATTATGTAAACATTTCAGATAACTGATTCGATCTAGTAAATCAGTGCACACAATTGACTCCCTTGGATGAAGTTTTGTGGATTAACAAAGGTATCTAACAAAAATCCAAAGTTTGAATACCCTGTCATATCTGTTATGTGCTTAAAGTTTGCAATCAGTTTCTAACGTATTTCGACATCCAGACGCTCAGATAACGTGTGTGCCCATTTATAGTCTGTTGAAACAAAAACAATATATAGAGTCAAAACACATGTAACGTGACTCTCGCCTTGTACGCCATGACTTGCTGTGAAGGTAAGTTTGATATTTTCGAGCCTTTTGAATATAATCTTGCCTTTGATACTAACGAAAATCTATTATTCTGTAGAGGAACTTAGGGCAAACAGAACTGATCTTGAACTTCTTGTCATATTTGACCCTTTCTGAGA